GTTAGCTATTATGAACTCAGATTTTCTCGGCCTTTATTTAGACTTACAAACCCCAACTCATGAAAGGGCTCAGTAATGACAAAACTGTAAAAATTAAGATCGAGATCATTTCAAAATAAGATTACTTCCTTAAATATCAGCTCATTCTCTCCATACATAAATTAAGAGGTAGGTAAGGAAGATATAGCCTGATCTACTGAGATAGAACAGACAGATGTCTTAAAAACCCAGTATCGAAAGTTCATTCATTTGACAAATATTTTCTGAGTATCAGCTATGACTAGTCACTGTTCCAGGGGTAGGTATACAGGAGTCAACAAAATTTGCATAACTGAGGGGAAAGGACTGGGGGCAGGGGGGAGTTGGAAATTTGCCTCCCTCCATAACAGGCAGGACCGTGGAGTCTACCTGCTCCAAGTCATCCTTGTTTTTATATAGACTTATGTTACTTGCTTCTGCCCCTGAGCTAGACTTGCTCATAGGTTGGTTTTCCCACAGGCATTTCAACAATAAAAGATAATTTAAATAAAGGTAAATTTCATGCACACTTGATTAATCTAACTGCTTTGCTGCTAGCATCAGTATTTCTAGTACATTTTTAAACACCTTCATTTACCCATTGATGTAAAACATAAAAGTAGCACATTTTCGGTCTATGTGTTGACATGATAGTTAAAAAGAACACCTGAGGACTTGTGGAAATCAACTAAGCTGCCGTTATTTTATTTGTACTTCCCTCTTCATCAGCTAACAATGTCTCACAGAGCTCACTCATAGAAATGTGTAAGAATCTGGCTGCATCATTGATAAGGGATCCAAAAGGAAAGCTGTACTCATTTAAGCAACAAGTTTGGCATTCTGAAGAAAGAATGCATGCACATTTTCCTGCTCATTTACGTACTCTCCTAATTCCCTGAAGGTACAACAGTACAAAATAAACTGACTTCACTGTATTTTTCAAAAAGAAGAGAGACCTTGATTTTCATGACAATTACTGACACAGTATATTCCACTTTCCAGGTAGGTTCATACTTGAGACAGGGTTTTTAAAGTACTCTTTTAATAGATACCCCAGATACCATAGACCTGCAAAACAGTATTGTTTTAAATATAAATTAGCGTGAGAAAGTGCCTAACGCTAACAATTTATAGATTTTTAAAATTTCGTTATCTTTAGAATCTAAAACATCTTTTTCAAATAGTGTAAAGCAGATAATCTTCATTCTTGAATGGTGCTTTTGAGTTGTTTTTAATAACCAAAAGTATACTGGAAACATATCTAATTATTAACTTAAATTATGCTAGCATCTTTCTTCTAACCCTAGATGTGTGGTTGGGGTCTGCCTCTGGCCACTGATCTCAATTCTGGGCCAATAAACTAGAATGTGTTTAAGTTTCCTTCTAAATCACACCTTGGGGGAAAAAAAAAATCTACCAAAGAACACAAGTTGCTCTCTTGCATGATGATAATCAAGAAAAGAGGTAGTTTTGAAGAAACAAATAAGTGCGACACAGGAAACCTTGCACTCTCAACAGGATAAATAGCATGAGGTAGAAAATGATGAAGTTGGGAGGAAATATGACTGAAATAATGATGAAAAGCCAAGTGATGCTACTGATACGAATAGAAGAATTGGACAGTCTAAAGTAGATGAAGTCGAGTGAGGATAGTGGGGGTGGGGGGTGTAGGGTAACAAACAGAAAAAAGGAATTCAATTTTCCCACTCTCTGAATCCACAGGCTCTTATTCTCTGCCTCCACCACCAGCAACATATGCCTGTACACAATGGTCCAAAGACAAGCAACCATTATCAGGGCAGTTAATCTACTGGTTAAGGAGTTATTACTTTATCTTCTGTAATTTCAAAATATGATATCTACTTAGCATAATATCCTCTAGGTCCATCTCTAAAGAACAAAATAAATGAACAAACAAATCAGAATCAGACTCATAGACAGAGAACATTTTGATGATTGCCACCGGGGTTGGAGGGTGGGAGCTGGGTATAAAAGGTGAAGGGATTAAGAAGTACAAATTGGTAGTTACAAAACAGTCACAAGGATGTAAAGTACAGCATGGAGAATACAGTCAATAACACTGTAATAACTACATATAGTGTCAGGTGGGTACTAGACTAATCAGGGGATCACTTTGTAAATTATGTAAATGTCTAACCACCTGAAACTAATATAAAAAATACCGAATGTCAACTCTAACTGAAAAATAAAATAACGTGATTTCTATGTTTAGTATATCATACACAGTTCAGAGCAGGAACTATGTATATTTGATTCAATTTCAAGAACTTGTAGAGAAAGATGAATTGTGCTTATTATCTTTGGCCTTCTATTTTGGCAAAGTTATTCCATTTTCAACTCACAAGTGTAGAAAACTAATGTACAAATTCCATTGTTATGAAACAATTTACCACGAATTTTCATTCTCTTACTGTTTTCTAGAGAAGAAGAAACTATATTTTAGACACAATCTTAAAACATACATATCACTCTACTTGATAAAACAGCTTTGGTTAATGTCACTCAAAAGCTGCTGCTATTATGTCTTAGTCTACTCCACTCCTTAGAAAATCTCCTGTAATAAGCTTCATTTCAAATGAAAAGGACAGTAGGGGGATCCCTAAAGGGTCACTTCTCAGCTAGGCAAAAGAATATAAAACTACCACTTCTGAGGAACATCTGTGACTATAGAAGGCATATACTTAGGGGAACTAAGATGATCCACTCAACATATACATAAATGTGGACATATTTTATTTCAGCATTTTTAAAAATTGAAACAAGTTTTTTTTTAATACTGTTTTCTACATTTGGTATGCTCTGATATTATTTTCTATTCTAATATACGTCTTGCTGCTGATTATAACTCACTAAATCGATTTCTTGATCCATTTGACTTAGGATAAGAGGATCACAAATAAACTACCAGTCTATAGTGAGCATCTTCTTTCACTGATGAGAAAAAGCTAAAAGAATTGAAAACATCAGTCAAATAGTGATTGTTTATTTAATTCTAGAAAGATCACAGGAGAAAGTGTAAGACTCAAGATAAGAAAAAAAGGTAAGAGTACTGTACTCCTCACAGAGGTTCCTATTCTGGCATTTAACAATCACCACCACTTTTACTCTAACACTAGCTTCCTACACACTCAACCCTAAATGGATTTCTTTATTATTATTTGTTTCACACACACAAATTGATTGTACTCATGTTATATTTTTAATATATAAATTTATATATATTTTCCAGATCTTTCTTACAACCTGTCAAAATAACAGCCTAAGTATTAGACCTGAAACACAGATCTTGGCCCAAGTCTAAGCTAACAACTAAGTTATAAACTCTTCCAAAGAAGAACAGGAGTTCCCAACTCTAGCTTTAAGAATCCTCTATGGCAGCAGTCCCCAACCTTTTGGCACCAGAGACCAATGCTCCTATGAGAATCTAATGCCTGATGACCTGAGGTGGAGCTGAGGCAGTGATACTAGCGCCACTCAAACACTGCTGCTATTATGTCCTAGTCTACTCCACTCCTTAGAAAATCTCCTGTAATAAGCTTCAGTTATTACAGATGAAGAAAATACAGATGAAGCTTCTCTTCGCCAGCAGCTCACCTCCTGATGTGCGGTTTGCTTCCTAACAAGCCATGGACTGGTACTAGTCGGTGGCCTGGAGATGCAGGACCCCTGCTCTATGGAGTTAAAACTGAACAAGCAGACACCCAAGTGCTGTCTCAAAGAGATTTTTGAAGCTGAATTAGCAAATATTATACAGAAATATATTTTGTAAACAATGTATAAAATATCATACATTATGTCAGAAAAGACCTTTGTGGACAGTAGGTACTATTACTGTATGTCATCAGACATAAAACACCTAGTTCAAATGAATGAATACTTTTGTTAATAAATGGCTGACTTTACTGTGTAACTTGATTATATCACTGTCATTATAGACTACAATCTAATATAAAGCAGTTTTACCTTAGGTTTAATAACTAAATTCCATTAAGAATTTAACTGCTGACATGACAAAAGGCTCTTAACATACGATAGCCTAACGGATAAAGATTACGGACTGCACTAGTGTGTTTCTATTAATTATCTATTCATGACTTAAACCATCCCAACACATTTTTTCTTCATTATCTAAAAGATAAATAATTCCGAATCCTGAATCTGATGAACCACTAATGAACTCAACACTCTCCCTGAGTTGATTCACTTATACCACCCTTAAGAAATCATCTAGTAGCAAGCACACAGTACAAAATTAGGCTTCCAAGGATTTAAATAATTAAGTAGTTTTGCCTACATCACTCAAATAAAATGTTATGAACATAAAAATCTAAAAGATTTTTGATGGTTAAGTAGGCAATGCAAAGTCCAGAATTACCACTACTAGCAATTACAACTTAACAGTAGGACTATACACCACAAACACAAGAATGATTAATTACATACATTAGATCACACTATTAATAAAGAATTATTCATTCTCCTCTTAGTAAAGATTTTTTGTAAAAGACAAAAACAAGCATAAACTATATATAGTCCGAGTCAGAATTATTTTGTTTGGGCACATTAATACCCCAAGTGAAGAATTTATCCAACTACTTCCTGTTCAGGCTACCACGAAATGAACGCACTTCAGAAAAACTAGTCTATAATATAAACCAGAAAGATAATTACAGATTAACACATGAATAATCCCTAAACTATTTGGTTAAAGAAATTATAGCTCATTACCATTAAAATCTAGGGAAAATATCTACAGCAGTGTCTTCTCTAACCAGAAAATTCACCCATCAAGCTTGTGATATATGGTTTTTTCCTAACAAAAAATAATACTGTCATAAATCCGTAACCACATCTACAATCTAAATATTAAAATATTTTAAGATATAAGATAATTAAATACAGAATCATGAATGTTCATTCTATCCATTACTTTGGGGTCACTGGGAGATTCTAAAGCATACCTTTTAATCCACGCCATGGTACTTCAAGAACATGTTAAGGTAAGTCACAGCTTGGAACACTTCGATGCACCTCAAAACACCTCAGCCAGTATCTGTATCATTCTCCTTTCCTGTTGAGATCATAATGGTTCCGAAGAACTATAATGCTTCCATTTGAATGATAGTCTCATAATTTCAATGACTTAAAAACAAAAACAAAAAATAAGGACTTAAATGTTGGTATATTAAGCCACTAGTGCACTGTGTTAAATGCTGCCATGATTAAGAAAATCAAAGAAGATGCCACTACCATTATGTAACACTGTCATTTTTTTTTTTTTAATGTAAACCCTCATATGCATGAGGAGTACATGTTTGGTGGTCAGAGTGACAGCCCTTGCTTTGATAAGATATACTAGAACCCCACAAATCTCTGACCCAACTAATTCTTCAGTTTTCTTCTCAAGAAATGAAAACCTGTAAGATAGGTCTAAACGTCTGGTAGGTGCCAGGTCCACCTTTGATTGACCAACTATTCTATTCTCTGTTGAATGAGAGCTGGAAATCACCCATACATCTATATAAAAGGGAATTCATTAATAGACAAAGCAGGGCTTCCTCCAAACAATGCCCTTCCTGGTGTTAATGTTACTGAATCCTTTCAATTTGATAACGTTATTAAATTGAAAAGCGCTCCTGTTTCTAAAGCTTACTTCTATGAAGAGCATGCATATAAATGAACAGATAGATAGCAAACTACCAAGTTTTACTGCTGCTCTGTGATTGTCTTGGCAGGTTCTCTGTTCCTCTTTCTTTCTCATGCCACCCACCTTGCTTATATAAAAGCATCAAAAACATGTCATTAAAATAAGAAATCTATGTGTCACCTTTTAAATCTAAGAATCTCTCAACTTTTGCTTCAAGTTTGGCACTCTACAGTTACAAGAAATAAGACTTGAGCCACACAGAGAAAATAAAACTGATAAATTATCAATACACATATATATTCATGTCATAAAGCAATTAAAATTACTTTAGTATGACTGATCAGGAAATTTTTAATGAAAGAAAATTATAAAAAAGGACTTCCAAGGAAAGAGAGAAAGTTTAGAAAGGTTCTGTTACACTCGGGGTTTGTGGAACAGCTTGCATAAAGATTAATAGACAAGGACTGCAGGATGACAAAGTCCCAGCTAGAGCTAAAAAGTATGTAAAGAGAAAGTGAAACTATTTCTTGTTTGAAAGGGTAGATTCAGATGATGAAAACCTTTCAAGTTCACTGTCAGAAAATTACATATTTCTGAGATTTAGATCTATTGTAGGTTATGGAGAATGCAGGTTACAAATTGTAGGTCACTCTTCAGAGAGCTGATAATGGTGGCAGAATTGCATATAAGAAAGAACTCTACCAGATTAGGTGGGAAGAAACTAATGAAAAACAGAAACAAGGGCCATAGTCCAATAAAATTATGACAGCCACAACCATCTTTTTTAAACTGATCATTTTACCACATTAGTGCAACCCCTTGACTGTTCCCACTAGAGCTTTAAACTACTTAATGGCTCTGTGTATGTATACAACTTCCTGGAAGGCCATCTACATTGTTTCCTATGACTCTGTGCCTCCAGATAAATGCATCCGCCACACAACTATCAGTTCATGTTCCTGAAGTACAGCTCCTCCCCTGCACACAAAGAATAATGTTAACCACTGGGAAATAAGGCAGGATGTAAATACGTTAGATAATAAAGAATAAAGGCCTAGGTCTGACACATTTACTCATTATCTCATTTAATTTTCAGAACCCCAGTTTATAGGAGAAAACTGAGGTTCTGTGGTCAAGTGACTGACCCAAGGAAACATGCAATAAAAGAACTAGGACTTAAATCTAGATCTTCTAGCTGTAATTTCAGCACTCTTCTACTACAATATCGCTGTACAGGACTGGTGGCGGGAGGGAGTGGTACTGAGACTAAACTAACATTTGTTGACAACATGCCAAGTACCATACTAAGCACTTGATATTTTATTTGATCCTGATGTATCACTCATAAGACTGACTAGCTGCCTCCTCTTTACAGGTAAGGAGACTGGGGCTCATTCGGAGAGATTTAAGTAACCTACTCAAAACATCACGCACCAGAGACTGAAAGTGGTGGGACAGATCGTCGTCAGTTTCACATTTCCAACTCTAAAACCCCACTCAGGTTGCTATGCCAACCTATCTTCCAGAAGCAATCAGAAAAAAAAGTCCAACACGAGTTTATTTTTCAACCTGGCTAATTTAGCAATAATCTAACTTTATAAACGCTTCTCACACAAAACTCAGTCAATGTATATAAACATATTTTTAGCCATGGTTTAGCAAGAGACTATATGAACATTTGCTAAAGCCACTAAGAAGGATCAGAATTCTACATATCATGCAAATCAGAAACTTCATTTGATTCCTAAAAATGAAATATCATATTTTTACAAGTAAGCACTTACAGATCTTTCAGTTAACTTGAAAAGCATAGTACTGTATTTATCAATATAAATTTTAGTTGAGAAAAGAAAAATGAACATGAAAAAGTATTTTCCTTAAGAGGGTATCTGCCAAATTTCCCAAATTGGCCCTGTCCCATAGACTGCTACAAGTCTCAGCCTCATGGGAAGAGAAGTCGTTCATTAGCTGAGGGAGGTGAGGCCTTTTGGTCAAGTTATCAGTAATAAAAAAGACAAAAAAGCAGATGGACAGCTCTCTACAATGCTTCAAATATGATTAAACTAAAAATAACCAAAAGCCCTGAAAAAATCCCCAAATTAAGGACAAGAAACTCCTAAGCAACTTATGAAAACCGTAGACTTACATTGCATTCCAAAACTAACTGAAGAAGCTGATGAACAGAACTACTATGCCAATGTATGACAACTAATGTTAGGTGAATCAACAAAACCATTTTTAAATTTCTGAAACAAAATATTGCAGAATTACATTCGAGGGTTCAAATCTGTCACAGTAAGAAACTTAAATGGTCATTTAAAAAATATTTTCATGACTAACTGCATAACTCTTCTGTATAACTCATTTTACGAGCATTATTGTTCAAAATAGACAATAAAAAAGTGATATGGAAAACTTCCAGCTTTTAAAATATACCTAGGCAAATTTGCTCCTAAAGAAATTAAGTTCTGACAAGGGAAAAGCACAAAATTAAGGAGGAGGAATGAAGAATGTAAGTTGCTGGGTTTGGCTGACCTGGACAGTTACATTCTCACAGGGTCTTTCCTGATCCAGCTTCTGGTCTCCTCCTACCCATACAGATACAAGGTATGTTCCAGCCATACTAGATTTTTGTACATTTCTCAGAATACACCATGGTGTTTCAGATCTCTGGACCTTTGTACATGCTGTTTTGCCTCATCCTCTCACACCCCCGAATTGCAGGAGCAGTGGTAGGGAAAACAGATAATATTTAAAAAGATAATATAATAAAATATAATATAAAAAGGATAGAGGAGAAAAAATTAAATAGGTGAGACTAAGAGTAAAAACCAAAAATCCATAATATATTTCCAGTATCTACAATGTATTACATACTACATACTGAGCCAAGTTGTTTTTACATAAATTCTCAGAGGCTTATTAAATATACTTAATTTTTACAAAGAAAAAAAATACTGAAATTGATGAAGCAGTCTTTAAATTAGATACTATAATTTAGGGGATGAGTTCTACAGACACAAATTTTAAACAAGTTTTGTCAACTAACTACTTGGAAACAGTCTTGTTATATAATGACAGAAAATTAACTGTTGCTATATCAAAAGTATGAAAATCATATACTCTAGGAATTTCAATACTAAACTAGTTTTTGCCAATACTAATATATTTTTCAAATCTAAAGCTGAACCTGGTTTTGAGTAATTTTCAAAGAATTTTTCTAAGAATCATAAACTACTTTGATTCCCATCTTAATAATAAAACTGCAATTTCTCTGCAATTAAACACTGGGGCAAGGGAACGTCAAGCAGCTATAGCTGAGACTGAACTCAGTCAAGATCAGTGAGGCTGAGCACCTGAAAGACACTTGTGATCTAGCAATTCTGAAAGATGAAATATTTAACTAATTTTACTTTACAACTGGGAAAGCTCTTTTCTTAAAATGTATATTGTAACACTGATAAAAACTTCTATCAAAGTGCCTGATGAGACCACTACTCAAAGTTGCAAAAACCTAGGGTTCAACTGGAATATGCCTGCATTTTTTTTTGCTGGAATTCTAGACAGCAGAGTATGGACAGGTATAATTTAAACATAAATACACACATGCATGCATACATACACATACACAGCTATCCTCTTCCAAATGGATTAGTGTACCTGCTGTGAGGCCAAAGATAGGAGGGTGGGGATAGCGGAGAAGGAGATGGAAGAACAGTAGTTCAAAAATGCTGAGAAAAGGATGTTAGGGAAGGAAAAGTAGAAATCAAGTAAATCAGCTCATCAACACTATTATGTATTTACTGAAAACAAACAAATCAACAGAAGCTTCTTTCCTTTCTAGGATTTGAGAGGAAACCAAGTAAGAAATGCTAAAGATATAGAGCCTGAATCAAATTTTCCTCTACTTTCATAAAAATGTTTATAGGTAAATTGAGTTTCTCCCTATCATTTTCGTTCTCCTTCAGCTTAGTTGTTTAGGTCTCTTTTTGTTTAAAATAAAATTTAAACCTGGGTGGCTTAAAAGATTGTGGTCCTAAGTGATAAACAACGTTCTGTTCAAGTTCTGAACTTGGAGTCAGGAGTCACAGGTTAGAAATTTACTTGATATGTACTGACTAGTCACAATTTCTCTGCAGATAATACCAGCACAAAATTGCAGTAATGCTTAAATGTGAAAACACCTAAGACACTGCTCACCAGAACAGGCATAAACACTGACTTTGATGGCAAAATCTGGTAATCAGTGACTGCTAATGCCACAACTCTAAAATAAAAATAAAACATTTTCCTAGGAATGTTTTAATTTAATGATCAAAAAATACTTATGCTTTAAGTTAGAATTTTTTTCACACTTATATTAATTCTAATTATATGGGTGATGTGATGATCAAATCTGTGGCTCTAATTCATGCCTTCAAACAGTCTCTCCTCTCTCTTAAATTCATTGTTCAACAAATATTTGAACATCTATAATGTGTCAGCCCTTTTTTAA